TATATATATAAAGTATGTAGGTATAACATATCTCTATAGCACTTATTCATAGTCTTATTCTTATTCATAATTTATCTTTATCGATCTAAAGCGACATAACACAAATCCCTCCCTTATAGCTAAACTGGCTGCACTGGTTCAGAGTTTATCTTTTTATTTCTATGGAAGTATAGAAAGATAAGTAATATGCAATCACTTCAGCTCAGTTCAGCTATAAAGAACAGACCTAATATGTTAAACTATAAAGCTGCTGTTATTATCAGTAAATAGAAGATATATTTAGAATTATTTTAATGAGATACACTTACATCTGCAACAAAATTAATGATTAGATTTAAAATACAGCTTAAATTAAAAATGACACATTCATCTGCACGCATAATAAATTTGATTATAGAATAGGACACTACACTGGACAACATGTTTTATTGTTAAACTTTTCAAAGAAAAAGAATCTATTCATTCATTTGCATTAAGAATCGTGACACATCTAGCGTTACTAGAATCCATAGTAAATAAAATCTATTAAATGTTTTACGCGTTTCGTCGCTTTATATCGTTAATAATATTAAATCTTGAATGTCTATTACTAAAAATATGTTTTATGTAATAATAATTAAAAATAATTATAATCACATAAAATAAAAAATTAAAATTAATCCTTTGTAAAATTATATATTTTATCTATATAATACATATTTAATTTGTAAAATAAAATAATCTAAATTAGGCGTGAAAAATTACACACTTCGAGCAGCCGATATGAATACTGTTTATGATCCATATTTGAGACATCTGTTCGATGGTGATCCGATATTTAATGTCTATAACCAGGAAGCCACGAACTTATCCGTAGGGGCACCTGGGCCTGACCTATTAAAACATTGTGTAGAAATGCTGAATAAGTCCACGCGACATAGAATGGTAAGATCAATTATCTTAACACTACATTTCGTGTATATTCTTATCATATAATTAATTTAAAAAAGATATATTATGCCCTCTCGATAATATACAAGATAATTTCCTGTGTTTTTTATACTATGTATATTATTTAGAAATAAACCATTATTATACAATAAGATCTAAAGTTAAGCTCCAACAAATATTTTCTATTTGTATTTTGTAACATTATATTTTTGCACGTTTATTGCAGCAGTTAAGTAAATTGAGTGTAAAATGAAATTATTAATATCAATAGATTGTAATCAATAAATTTATAAAAAATAGGTTAATTAAAATAAAATTAAGAAAATTTATTTACCTTAATCAAAGTATATATCAAATTTGTGAAATTTGATAGTAAATTAGTCCAAGTTCATTAACTCAGGCTATAAAAGTATTAGAAATATATATAAAACAATTTTAACTAAATAATTCATTAATGCTTTAATAAAAACAAACGTGTACGAAAATGTGATATAACACGATTCTTACATAATATTCTTTTTAATTTTTGATTAAAATATAATGATCATATACTTCAATTAATAATTATGTTTCTATATCAAGCCAAAAAATATAAAAACATAATTATTAATGAATTGAAGTATATAATTAAAAATAAACTAAATATATGTATATGTATACACTTATTTAATTATAATTCAAGAATATGTTTATCAATACTTTGCAATCATCTATGTTAATGGAATTAATTATTTTAGGAAGAAGAAGAAAAGGAAGGAAAATACTATCTTTTTCAATATGGTGTAACGGCGGGTCTTTGGGAATGTCGCGATGAGTTAGCCAAGTTCTTGAGCAGGCGATACGGTAATTCCGTAATGAGAGAACACCTGATATTAACGTGTGGAGCATCGCATGGTCTTCAACTGTTGTTGAACACTATACTTTCACCAAATGGCATTATCTTCGTAGAGGAAGTTACATACATGATCGCTCTCGATGCTTTTAAGCAATTTCCGTTAATAAGAATAGTTACAGGTAGATGGATTATGAATAAACTAATATTTTGTAAAGCGAGCAATAAAGTATAAATATTTCAAGTTAAAAAAAAATAAATTATAATCAAAAATGTAGATATTTCTATTACAGAATGTGTGTCAATACTAAAGTAAGATAGTAATACAGGACATCGATATACATAATCATAACTAATACAACTTCTTAAAGATAGTTTATAGTAAAAAGCACATATCTATATTCAAAAATATATAAACAGGAGTGTTTATTATTATTGTTATTATTCCATATACACAGTGCCAATGAAGGATGACGTAGTAGATTTAGATGCATTCGAAAAAATAGTAGCTGAAGAGAAGACAAAAAGCAACTATTTTCTGAATGATCAAAAAATATTCTGGGCGATGTTTTATACAATACCGATTTTTCACAATCCAACTGGAATGACATTGTCACCTGGTAAATTAAAAATCAATATCTTATATATAACAAAATCTCCCCTTTATATAATCGCGATTGAATTCGCATTAATCGTTAATAAAAGATTTCGATTACATTTCCCATTTTCTTTCACACGATACCTAAAGCTTTGCCCATTGAAATGCGAAAATTAGTAAAGCTAAAACAAATGTATATAAGAGAATCTAGTGCATCTTCTTCATGCATGAATAACGCTAATTATTTCGTCAATTTTATTTCTCGACAGATCAGTGCAAGCGTTTAGTGGAGATCGCGCAAAATAATTCCATAGTAGTAGTCTGCGACGACGTGTACAATTTACTTTATTATGGACAAGGACTTCCGCCACGACGCTTATTTTCTTATGACAATCCAAAAGATACAAATTACAAAGGAGGAAACATTGTGTCAAACTGTTCATTTTCTAAAATCCTTGCGCCAGCGATCCGTTTTGGATGGATCGAATGTAGTCCGCGTATTGTTAACATTGTGAAAACAGCGTAAGTCGCACATATTTTATTTCTTTTTTTTTTTAAATATAATTTCTGTTAAGACAAATATATATAATGCAAAATTATCTATGCCATCACACACACAAGTTAATTTTGCAATTTATACATAAAGCTCTATAATATTAAAAACAGGACATTAAATATTGTGACATTTTATAAATATCATTCGTCGTGCATTAATGCAAATTATAATTGGCTAATGTAAATTATGATAGACCATAATCTTGAAATTACGCAACTATTTAATTGTCAGATTTTTAGTGCTATATTTTTTTTATAGAGGCGTAATGTGTAGTGGTGGTGGAGTTAATCATTACGTTTCCGGATTAATGACGAGTATGCTTCATGAGAACATTGAGGATAAATACCTTGATAAGATTATAAAAATCTATAGGGTGCGTTATATTACACTAAATATTATGTATTTTTACACTTCAAAAACTATATCATTATGTGAAATATTAACAATTAATATAATTGCAAAAATGGATATTAGATGTGGATGCTTATAAAATTTAATAATTATTTATTTTAATATAAAATTGCTCTTATATTTTTTATGTCATGTTATTTGATATAAAAAGAAATATAAAAAGATCAACATTAGTTTAAATGCAATTTATAGGAACGATTAGATACGCTTTGTGCAACTCTGGATCGATTTTTGCCCAGCTGTTGTTCATATCGACGACCTAAAGGTGGTTACTTCGTTTGGATCCATCTTCCTTCGGGTATAATGAATCGTTCTATTATGAAATTATATCCGAGAATAATTACGAAAAATAATACTAAAAACAATTTTTAAATAATCACATGTTGCAGTTTTAAAATTGTTGTGTATTTCTCAATTGTATTATTATATTATAGATTTACATATGAATTTATTCTATTTGTCATAAAGTTATATATATTTTCTTAAAGAGATAGACGGTACTAAGTTCATCAAATGGTGTCAAAAGGAATACAAAATATCAGCGATACCAGGTACTCGATTCTCATATACGGGTGAAGCAAAGAATTTCTTACGTATAAGTATAGGCTTTCACACAAAAGAAGTTTTGGAGACTGCAACACAAACTTTGTGTACGGCACTTTTAACGTATATCAGGCGTCAAGTTAATGACAAAAACGATATTACAGGTACGAATGATTTAAAAACATGAGCATATCGATTTTAATCGGATTTACATAAAATACAATTATCTAATATTTAGATATTATTCTTAAAATAACTAAAATGCACGAAATTTAAGGGAAATATTATATATATATGGTAAAAAAATAATTAAAAAATATCTCAAAAAGGATATTTTATAACACAAATTTATGTAAAAAAATCTGTTCGATGTTTTATTATATAAAAAGAATGTAATAGCATTGTAAATGTAATGTAATAATATTGTAAATGTAAGTTTTATATATTATACATGTTATAACATCAATTGTTATATATTATATCCTGAAAATGGTATACTCACACAATGTAAACTTTTTAATACTTTCTTTACAAACACAATATTTTAAAAGCTAGTGATAAGAAATGCAATAAAACATTGGAAGTTTTGTTTAAAAAAATCTAAATTTTATTCGCACATACTTCATTGATCATTATCACTAAGCATCCTTTTTCAACAAACTTGCATAATCAGAATATACATTACAACAATTCAAATGAATATCAATCACTTCTAAAAGTAGACCTTCATAATCTTATTGTTAGTCGTAATTTTCATAAAATTATTATTATAATGATACGATTCACATAAGATACTATTGTCTTAAAAAAACAAATTACATTTATATTTTCAATAGCAATATAAATTTTCTTTTTAATTATATCATTATAATTCATTAGAATGAGTATATATAAGTATGTGTCGCTTTTTTCTTTTATTATATAATTAAATATTTTATACATGCAGCAATTAACAATATAATAATTCATTCTCAAAAGTACAAATAGTTAAGTCTAGAGAAGTTTATTCAGGATCACCTAACAATTCTTTCTGTTTGGTTTCCAGCAATTGTTCAGCTTTACTTACATACTGGTTACTGAGAATATCTATATAGTTTTCTATCCTAAATATTGAGTCTTTGGCTAATCCTTCTTTTTGCTTTACCGCCTTAATTTGATTGTTGCGTATTTCTCTAATATTGTTGCAACATTTTGTATAAAAGCTCTTTGCATTTTTAGATAAGCTTTCTCTGTGTTCTTTTGTTACTCTGTTGATGTAAAAACATATGTGAATGTTTTTGTTCCAATAAGAGCCAAGATAATTATATATTCAGCTATATTAAATAATATTTTTGTTCTTATCTTATAATACAGAATTAAATATCAGTTCATCTCTTGTATGTAATGTAACTTAGAATAAATGCAGAAAATCACAATAATTCTAAAGTTTAAAAATATGTTTTTAATACAATTATAATATTCTAAAACTTACTTGGGAATAGGAACATAAATTGTAGTCCCATCTTGTTGCGGATTTAGCTTCATCTGATTTTTTGTGAGGCTTGTCAAAATATTTGGAATAGCTTGTGGAAAAGTAGATATATTCAATACTATTAGTTTGGGCTTACGACTAATCTGTGCAAGCTCTTGCAATGTGTAATCTTTTCCCTCAAACTTGACAGATAATTCTTCAATAGCACCCACAGTCGATCTCATTGACAAATACTTGACAAAATCATTTTTCAAGATTTCAATAGACTTTTCCAATTGAGATGTTAGCTTATTGACATCAACAACTTGTTCCATCTCATTATAATCAATATGCTGTGCCTTCTGCTTCTTTTTATCTTTGCCACGGTCTTTGCCTTTTGCCAATACACAGGTCATAGAAAAATCTCTCGAATTATTCACTTTGATACAATTGGCAAATGAAAAATTTAAAATATCACCATGTCGAATGATCCATAGAAATCTTTGCTGGCTCTTAAGATGATGCATCTCTTTATTTAATAAACAGTGATATATACAGCTTTTTATTGGTCTTAATGTTGGGACTATTGCATAATTTCTTAATTGAATATTACCACAGAATCGTATGCCTATTATGCTTCCCATTTTCTTATTGCCATCAAACAATGTTCAATGTGATTAGAATGTATATATACCAGAGAAAATAACAAAATTATAATATTTATAATATATATTCAATATTTGGATATTTATTTGATATTTCTCGTTCTAATCGTGTTTAACAATACAAAATAATTGTACACGCATTTCGCACTTTCTGAAATCATAGGTTAAACTACCTAACCTCTTTTCCAACCTAAAAAAAAAAAA